ATATTGTCCATGACTTTTGATCAATGTTATATAACTTTTCAAAAACAGTCATTTATGCCAGCAATCTTCCACTGTAATCCTCAAGTACCCCCAAACAGGTCCAGTTTTCAGGACTGCCATTATTTTGTACAGGTGATATATTTTGTATCACTGGATTCATCCCCTAGTACCCCCGAGTATTCCCTAACAGGTCCAGTTTTCAGGCCTGCCTTTATTTTGTTTAGGTGATATCTTTTCTATCACTGGATTCAGCCCCTAGCATCCCCAAGTACCCCTTAACAGGTCCAGTTTTCAAGGCTGCCTTTATTTTGTGCTGGTGATATACAGTATTTTGTATCACTGGATTGAGCTGTTTGGGGTATTTGAAGACTGATTTCTCATACATTTCTTTGTCTCTTTTATTTGAGAAGTATAAACTTCATAAAGATGAAGCCATCAAAGTGTTAATCTTAGTGTCTGTACACCATCAATTCAGATGATTAAAAGTCAAATGACCCATACATGTCTGTGTATAATCATGTGCAGGAGAGTTTCATTCTCGGCCATTGGCTTGCTCACTTAACCAATAAATATTGCATCCATGTGCATTTGACTTTGTTGTTACTTGCCAGCGTAACAAACTGTCTGACAGAATGAAGACATATGCTGTCTGTTTCAATTTTCCATGATGAGATTTGTTCAGCAAAAATTAACATGTTCTGCCTATTTTGACCATAACTCAACTTTTCGGGATTCTCCTAAATAGAACTCAAAGAGAAATTTTCAAAGCATGGAAATCATTTCTACTCTCGTCATGTGGTGCTGTAGTTAGTAGTTATGCTCCATTGCTCTCCATTCACATTGAACCAATGCTAAAATACAGCCATCACTGTCATTATATAAAATACACTCTCAATCAGTTAAAAGCTGAACTTCGGGTTAGGCAAATGTTGTCTACAATACAAGAAGCATGTGTATTCTTATTTGAATATCGTTGTGCTTTGTGCATTTCTTCCAGATCTGTGCAGTAATCCAGCAAGAAATGTTTCCTCTGTGTAGGAGCTTCCTGTAATAAAGACCAGTGACCTCTGCTCTCTCTCCTTGTGCAGGGTGACTGGTCATGGTACATGTACATTTGTTCTGTGCGAATTAACCAGCATTCTCTCATTAGTTTTAGGGCTTATTCTGCACAATGTATAATGCTGTGGTTGTCGTGCAATTAGGGCAAAAGTTAATTTTCTTGAGGTATTTCTCTTTTGATTAAATGTTTTTAGGGTATTCCCGCTTAAGCTAGCCATACACTAGTTGAATTTTGGTTGATATCGGACATTCGAAACTCGACCAGCCTGCAGGCTCCCACCAGGACACCCTGTTTCAAAAAAGGCAATTTTTTTTATCTTTTGTTGAAAGGGCCAGTCCTAACAGTGGCCAAATAGTTCAGGTATCCTGACAAAGGCACACACATGGAGCTGAAAGAGAAAAAACAACCAGTGTATGGCCAGCTTTAGTAATGAACGGTCTTAGAATATGTTGCATCCAGGTCTGCTTATATTCTAAAGAGAAATCCATACAATAACATGTGTATTTGTTAACACATTCTAATTAGATTTGATTTGACAACATTGTCTAATCGAACAAACAGGATTCACCAAATGAATGTTACAATTGCCTTGAGAAAGATGACTTTTTAAAGCCTCCCTACCAATGCACACACATACAAATACAAATTGGAACAGATGTATCGGGTGCACCTACTTATAAAAGAGACAATTGAGCCACATTTGCTAGGTATCGCCGTGCATGCCAGAGTGACAGCAATAATTCTAGGGCCATTATTTATGGTTAACTCTAAATTGATGACTTGTACAGGATTTTAAAGTGTCGCTTATAGACAATTTGAGGTTCCATGAGTGCACATAATTTTGAGGCTTGACATGTTTGTAGGGCTATTCACAATAGGGTTGAAATTGGGAGAAGACAGGAGAAAAAAAAAATCTCCAATTCAGCTCACTTTCCAGTTCAGCTATTTTGGCCTAGATTGGTAAATTTTGTGAATCACCATGTTAGTATTTATTTACTTGAGCAACCTGATCTTTTAGATCTTACAAAAACTGGGTGTTATATTGAATTTGTGTGCACTAAAATTAATTTAAATGAACTTTTACTAAACATTTGTTGCACTAATATTACTGCAAGCGCTAAATAAATTGTATTGGTCAGACAATCTCTGCTGAAGGATACTGTGACAAGCAGCCCCCTGGGGTCTAGTGCAGAGTCATGGATCAGGTTTACCTCCAGCCTAGACTGTGCCAGTTTATAAGATAGCCTTGTGGTAGCGGTAGGTCTGTCTAGATGTATTCAGTTAGTTATGCATTGGCCACACCCTTTCCCCCACCTTGGCCATAAGTTTCCTTTGGAAAGAGCAGTGTACTGTATGTGGTGTGTTAAAAAGAGAGAACGCTGTTTTTCCAAACCTAGCTGATTTGTGTGCTGGGTACAATATGGGTGTATTAGTTCCCGTTCACACTAGCCCGTCTGCTAAAATGTTGCATTTAAAAATGACAGGATTTCCCAATTAATATTGTCCCAAGGAGTGTAATATGTTTAACAATGTGTTGTTCAGAGGATGAAATAATGAGTCTGAGATTGTTATAAAATTATATTTTCTAGGAAGAAATGTTACAGAAGACAATCACAATAGGATTTTTAAAACGGTAGTTGTACTAATGCAACTCACTCAGGCTACATAATCCAATTTTATAAATTAATTGGCATATTAAACTTTATGATGATGCTAAATAACAAACATGTTTGGTGCTTATATTTCATCCCATGACAATTGCCATATGGATGAAGTGAAATCTGACCTGGGTGTAATTGAGGCAACAATTTTATGCATTGCTCTGTTAGAATGATGCTAAGCAGTGTGTTCAGACATCCTGGCTAAGAAATGACAGCCTGGGTCTCATCACCTTTGATCATGAGTGTCTGCACTTGTCAACTGTTAGCATGGTGTCCTGCTAGTAATATTAGATGTTATGTTAATGCAGGTTTATAGCAGGCTATGTAAGGTTATGCATGATAGTAAATCCCAACAGGGATTTTTTCACTCTTTAAAAAAACCATATACCAATTTAACTTGATTCCAACTTAAATTAGTCAGGAGTGCATTCATTTATTCAGTGCTATATTAGGACCATGGTAGAACCTTTCTCCTTAAAGACACAGCACCACACTGGAAGGTGATTATAAACATACTAAAACAGATTGTTCTGTGAGGGGTGCCTAAGGTGCCAGATATAGGCTTGTAAAATGTAAATCAGGTCCTGGTTTTTATATTAGTATTTTTTCTAAACAACCCTTTTACGTGTACCTTTCTCAGCTGACTTTAGCTCTTAGACAATTAATACCTCCAAAATTCTTATTTTCAATATTTTATACCCATAGAAATCATCAGAATGTTGAAAACGTGCATGTACGTGGCTTTTTAAAGCTGTAGGGCAATGGGAAACTGATATAAAGACTACCATAAGCGACAATCAGACATTATTTGCACTGATCCGCTCAGAAAAAAACATCCTTTTGCAGCTCGCATTACATATGACCACTTGCTAAAATGTAATTTGAATAAAATACTGTTTAATACTACAAGAATCACACTTCATGGGCTCCTGAACGCAAGTTTTTAAAAGCACTGTCTTTCATGTTGATAACTTATTTAATTATATAATGAATCCAGCACATCTACAGCTACATATCTCAGAGCAGTGTACATCTCTGGAACGCTATAAACATAAAACATTATAATTAGAGAAATGTTTGTCTAAAGGGTGCTGTACATGGAAAATAAATACAGAACCTGTTCCATATTTTCTGGGCTAACGCCAGGTTCAAGCTTGGAGAGAAGATCGTCGTACCCCAGACTAGAGTGTGCATGTATTCGTGATAAGAAACTCAGCCTACATTTTTTTTTTTTTTTTACCATAAATACTGTAATAGTGTAATATTCAAACTTACATATAGTAAAAGGGTATTTTTTTCATATCTGCAAAATTTCTCATGTCACCCACACCCTACTTTTTAATTTATGTCCCTCTATGTTGAATACAGCAGAAGAGCAACAGCACTCTCATATGGCTTTTAGTGCCTGTGGATGGAAAACAAAAGTCCACAAACTCCTGAATTTAATTCAAACATCTGAATCCCAGAGAAATATAGGATATGGCCAGTGATTCAGCAAGCTGCAGTTAATTTAAAAAAATAACCTTCATACCTGTCTGGCGGCTGGTGAGTTCATGCTAATGCCATTACATATATCATTATATTATAATAAATGTGCTGTATAACCAGGTTGTATTTAATTTTACGTTTTTGAATGCCATAAGAGTACCAACTACAACTATGGAGGCTTCAGGCAATTATTTTTTGGATATATATACAAAATAACCTGCTCAAGAGTAGAAAAGAGTTCTGGGTAATGGTATTATTTTTACATGGCAGATAAAAGGATCTGCTACTTACAGCTTTGTGTCAGATACCACAGCATACCTTCAGAGGTCTAGTGGAGCTCATGCCTCGAACGCTTAGGGCTGTTTTGGTGGCAAAACTGGGAACTACTCAGTATTAGGCGGGTGCTCATAATGCTATGGCTGATTAGCTTATGTAAGCTTATACCTGACCCACTGATTTTGAAAAGCATCATAGAACCAGTAATGGAATTTAAAAGCAACAACCCCTAAGAGTAAATAAATATAGTTATTACCAGTAGTTTTTCCATTTAAAGCAACTTGTATTTTAGCTGTTATTACAATATATCAAATAATAGTTTACATGAAAACGTTCAGCACTTATATGAGATGGATGGCTGAAATAATGGCTCACATAAAAATTCTATAAAGTTGAAAACATAAGCATAATATCAATAATAATTATATTAAAAAACAATAAATGGTATTTATTCAAACAGTGCACACAGAAGGTGGCATGCCAGCTCAAATGATATATACATACACAGTCCTCACCTACAGTTGCAGACAAGTTAGAAAAGGCAGAGTCATTGCTATGGACAGAGGAAGAATTATGGTAAGGGAGCACAATGTAATTGTGGACGATGACAGCTGGAATGGATAAAAGACAAACAAAATCACACATGATAAACAAATACAACATATACTTTATTTCTCTCAACAAAACAGAAATATGAATAATGTATGACACTGAGCTAAGGCATAGATATTAAATTAAAAAAAGTTAAATTTTAGCTTCAATTGACTTTTGAAACCTGTCATCCCTAGAGTAGCTGGAGAATAAAAGGTTTTAACATTTGTAGCCTTGTGCTCAGTTGGATGTTTAACTGATTTGAAGTTTGGAGTTTTTATTTTCTTCCAGTGTGATCTGCTTTGTCCCCATTTCTGGGGACAAATTGCTGATACCACATTCCATTTTCTAATGCTGCAGAGGATTTCATGGTGTTTGAGCTTCATTAGATAAATAAATAGACTAGTCTGTTGACTTCCATGAACAGATTAATCAGAAGCCTACCCTAAGAGGTCTTCACATAGGATAATGTGCTATAATAGATTATATTATCCCACATTGCCTTCTATAGACACTCTTTAAGCGAAATAGGGAAGAATGAAAGTTTGATGACCCCAATTACTTACCATGAGTGTAGCTAACCCTACTGCCGGAAGGCCAATATAGGAACTTATCAAACTTGGAAATGCTCTAATTTCAGGAGCCATATTTGTTGAGAGATATAAAACTTAAAAGCAATGATCTCACAAGACACAATGTAAAATGATGGTATGACCATGGATATGAAAGCAAAAATGACAAAACTGACAAGGTGCATTGTTCATAGGGGATGAAGTGAGAACAAAAAAAGCACACAGAAATGCAGACATAAAATAACTAACTGTATTATTAAAATCCATAGATCTTCACTTACCCGCTTTTAAAGATTTGGTATGATCAAAGTAAAGCAATGTTTCAATAATGCTACATATACACACCTTCAAATTAGTGCGTTGTGGGTACTGTACATTAACGTAAAAACCCTGCTTACCTCTTCACCGCCTTAGTTTGCAGTTTCCACTAAAAAGCACTTCTGATTTCTCCTCACTTCCTATCCTGTACACATGTATCTCTAGGACAGGAATCAATGGTGTATTTTCCCAATGAGGACACCGGCATCTACATTATATGGCTAAACATTTATGCTCATCTGACCATCACACATATAGGAGTTGGTTGGATGTTCTATTCCAAAACCATGGCCATTAAAGGAGAACTATGAGGTGAGTTATTTTCCCTCACCTCATAGTTCTAGCCGACCTGTGACAATGAGACTGTCACAGGTCGGCTCAGTAGATCGGGAGGTGAGCGAACACATACCGGCATTCGCTCACCTGTCGATCCTGTCACGGCTCTCTGCCGTGACCCGAAGTGCAGAAGGAGTTCGACTCAGCTGATCCAATATCTGGATCGGCTAAGCCGAACCTCCGGCAGGCTACTCGCTGCTGTTCGGTCTATTCTTATAGATGCCGAACAGCAGTGAGTGAATAGCCGAATGCCGATGAGCGGCATTCGGCTCGGTTGTTCTGCTAGGTCCCTCTGTAGTACAGAGCAGAACAGAAAAATAGTTTAAAAAGTAGAAAAAAATAAATAGAAAACGATTGTGCGGAGCTAGCAGTAACAGCTAGCTCTGCCCAACTGTTTTCTATTGGCCGGCGGTTCTGCTGCCGTCAAAAAAAAAAAATCTCCCGGCCGCCCAGGAGAGAAACACTGCTTTTTCTTTTTTTTTTCTTTAAAAAAAGAAAAAGCAGTGTTTCTCTCCTGGGCGTCAGGGAGCGGGAGAGTTTGCTGTCTGAGATCAGTGTCCCTGGTTAGCTGGTAACCAGGGACGCTGATCTCTCTGCAAGTGAAGGTCCTGGGGCCGAAGCTAGCCTGAAGGATCGGACGAAGCTGCGGCTAGTCTTGTATGGGGGAAGGTGGGTGGGAGAGTTCTGAAGTGAACAAAAGCCAGTTGACCCAGGCTTTAAGTGAGGGGAAATCTCAGGAACACGGGGAACAATTAAAATTATACTGACTAGAGCTTAGCTTTAGGGCTTGCTCACACCAACAGCTGCGCTCAATTGCATGTATTCGATCAAGATTTTTGATAGACACGTGAAGGTGCCCATACACTGTACGATTATGGTACGAGAATAGCGGGAAATCCCGCGATCGTACAATAATCTCAAAGTATATGGAAGGCGTTGAACAAGGAGACTTGAAAACCCGCCGAGAATCGTACGATTCTCGGCAGGTTAGTGGCCTGCTTGTTCAACAACTGCCGAACGGGCCGGTGTGCGCACGCTTGCAGTCATCGGAAGCCCGCTCCTCATTGCGGTCATCGGAAATTGTCTTGCGATGGTCGTAAGGTGTATGGGCACCTTTACATTTTATTAAGTTCTATAGGCACAATGCATGTGGTTCTACTGCATCTCAGTCCGGTCCGCTTAAAAAAAATACTGCATGCAATACTTTTTTTAAGTCTTGCAGTGGTGTGAACTGTGCCCACCCGTGACAAGACAAATTGTCTTGTCTTGCGTTCAGGCTGTGCTGGGAAAAAACTGACAGCACTGCATGAACGCATATGGTGTGAACGTGCACTAAAACTGAATGCATGGCAGGTATAGTATTCATGTTTTTTAGCAATGCATAGAAGAGCTTTCACAAAACAGCAAGTTAGTTCTGCCATAATCAGCTCACTGTGCAGTCTGTTTCAAAATGTAATGGTAATTTCTAAGTATGTACCCTAGATGCTACTGCCTGTGATTTTAAAAGCAGTTTAGTTAACAGTTCTAGTTTATAGCTATGTAGAGCAGAGACATTGTGTACCATGAAAACAGCTTGAATACCACATACAGCTTCTTAAGATCAGCTGTGATCTCTTTTTCTCAAGATAATGTCAGGGCATCTGTGTAGTGTTAAATTAAACATCAGCACCAAAACGACCAATGTAATGTTGGTTATGCAATCATCTCTTGTAAAAACAGTGTTAGCTTGTGTTTTACTGGCAAGGCACACCAGTAAGTACATCTGATAACTGTCAAAGAAAACTCAGGGATTCCAGAGAAGGCAAAAACAAAGCAGATCAAACGTTTATTAATATGCATGGCTGCAGGGTAGAGGAATAAAAATGGATGAACACAAGGAAATGGGTTTTGGAATTTAAATAAAATGTCCTCGTATTTTGTAACGTTTACATAAGAGATAAAAGTTTAAGGCTTGTAAGTATGCAATTAATATGTTTTAGAGAAAGACATTTAAGAATAACCACATTTTGGGGTATTACATGTTTAATTTTAAAAAAAAAGCAATATCCATAGTATGTTTTCTATTTGTCTATAAGAAAGATATATATAAAAAAGTAAAACATAAAATTTGGATGAAAAATGGAGTGGTTGATTTATACATATGCTTCGTTAAAACATTTCTATGTACAGTTTAAACTGTCATACCATGGAATATGTAATGCAAATATCTTAAGTTTTCAAAAATGTCCAACTGTGCTTCAACAAGATGTCCCTCTGCAAACAAGTCTGTTTAGGAGATCTAAACCACTTTGTGCTACCACTTTTTTTTTTTTTTAGCATTGGATTTAATATGATAAACAAAGCTTGACTGTTAATGGTAGTAAGTTTAAAAATGGTGATGTCCTCACAATTAGGCAGAGGTAGAGAATACAGCAGGCTGGGAAAACACTACACAATTTGCACCAGCCATTCGACAGATTCAGTTTTCTCTCACAACAATCAGGTCACATATTAATAATCTTGTAACAGATATCGGACATGGTGTCAGTCAGGAAGATTTTATAGAATAATTGAAAACCTCTATAAGGCTGTTTTTGATAATTCATTTTTTACTACAAATGAGCTAAATGTGATGTCATAAGAGAGAGGATCAACATAGCAACAGCATGCTACCACCTACCCTGCGTACTCAATTTAAAATGAAAGTTCTACTGAAAACTACATAGTAGGGAATAAATACATTCATTTTGTGGACAACATTTTAATCTGTTTTGCACATCCATTCTAAAAAACTAAAGTGATCTAGGTTTAGCTTAACTATTAAACCAGATCTTTTCCTGAGAACTTGGTACAAGTCAGTTTTATAGTTTACTTAGGAAGCCACGTGCTTTTAATGCAATTTAATACAGCAAATTATTCTATGTAAGTGTATGTGAAGAACATAAAATATGACACTCTAGGATGTAAGATGCATATGTACAAAACAGCTGTACATACTTCTGTCGCTGTCATTACCCATAGGACCCATCCTGCCTTCAGTGACTCGGGGAAGCTCACGAATTCCATTAACTAGGTCCAAAGGCCAGTAGTGTGATGCCGATTTTAAGACCTGGAAGCCTGGAAAAAGTAATAAGTAAACGTAAAAGTTTGCAATCTGTTCTATATTATATTAAGATTAACGGGTAGAACAGAAAAGTAATTATGAGGAGCAAAATGCAGCAATCCACTGTAGCCAATTCGAGTTATCCAGATAAAGATGAGGTCTGATTGGTCTCACGACATGAGGGTTTGTGACTTTATGCAACACATATTCATGAGAATATAAAAACATGATTAACAAGATGGACCATATCAAGTAGCTTCAATAAGGGCCTGATGCACCAAAGTGTGAAGTGCAGTGAGGTAAAGTGATTATACGTCTCATTTACTGAGGTATAAAATAAAGTGAGTTGAATCTGTGTCCACCCACAAGCATCCATTCAAGTTCAGAGAATCTTAAAGAAACAGATATTGATATAGTGCCAACAGCATAGCGCTTACAATATAACGAGATACAGAACAGTTACAATGCAAATCAAGACAAGCATATTAGGAGGGCCCTGCTTGTAAGAGTTTACAATCTGAAGGGGAAGGGCAAGTGATATAAAAAAGGGAATTAGTTGGTAGGCGGAGGTGCTGCGGGACGAAGTATAGAGTTAAAGGTAGAAAAGAGTTGATGAGGACTGGATAAGAGGGTGTTAATGACATTGACAAATTAGGTCTGTTTGGTGGCCCAGAGGGTGAAATTATATATTAAGAGGGCAGATTTTACATGGCAAAATCTAGCAGGCATTTAATTTTATGCCACACTCGCTTATCAGCACCACTATGGGGTCTATTCACTAAGCTGCCGTAGGCAGCCGAGTGACTAACCGTCCCGAAGCGAAATGAGCCGAACGCTGTTCGGCTATTCACTTCAGGCTGGTACGACTGAAATCAGCCGTACATTGCCTGGCTGCGGCTGGCTTCGGGTCGGCCGAACATGCTGAGAGAAGGAGTTCGACTCAGCTGATCCAACATCTGGATCGGCTAAGCCGAACCTCCGGCAGGCTACTCGCTGCTGTTTCTCATAGATGCCGAACAGCAGTGAGTGAATAGCTCTGAGCAGTGAGTGAATAGCAGCTCAGGTGTTCTGCTCGGTACCTCTGTGGTACCAAACAGAATAGAAAAACAGTTACAAAAGTAGTTTAAAAATAAAATAGAAAACGATTGGGCGGAGCTAGCAGTGACAGCTAGCTCCGCCCAACTGTTTTCTATTGGCCGGGTGGTTCTGCTGTCGTAAGAATAAAAAAAAATCCCCATAGGAATGCATAGCTAGATTCCTATTGGCTATTTCACTTTGCAATAGCCAATAGCAAACTAGCTATTGCACCCGCCCTCTGCTGCTGTCAATTACCACAGGGGGCGACCTGATGGAGAACTGCAGGTCCTCCTCTTCTGATTGACAGCAGCAGTGGGCGGTGCAATAGCTAGTTTGCTATTGGCTATTGCAAATTGAAATAGCCAATAGGAATCTAGCTATGCATTCCTATGGTGATTTTGGGGCAATTAATTAAAAAAGAACTGATAAGAGACACACAGATGAAAGAGGAAACTTTCTCAGTAGGACTGACCACAGTCATAAAGATAACCTTAGCTCCCTAATCAAAGAAGACAACAGGATGGTAGATCTATTTCAATAATAGAGATATAGGTTTAACAGTTTTAGGTTAAATCAAAGTACCATTGACGATAATACAGAGCATTGCAGGATGGTAATTGCATACAGACAGACAGCAAGGCAGCCAAGTGTGCTGCTATGGCTATTGTTGCGTCAGCGTAGCCAGGTACATGTACACCTTAGGCTGTTGTGGAATCCTGATTCAGTAAAAACTGTTTGAGGCAATAATGAAATCAAGAAGATCTTAGAAAGTATAAGCAAGTATAAGCATGTTTATCTGCTAAGTGCTGAGTATCTGCAGCACTTATGAATGTCAGCACAGCATAATGAAACCCTCAGCTCTTGTAGCTCAACACTCCTTAACCAGGGGGAAAAAAATGTAACCACCTGGCAAAACCGTGAGCTTATTTGCTTTGCTCCTGCATTGGCAATGCTGTCAGCATGATGAGGTGGTTGCTTCTAATTAGTATATTATCTATTCTCCTTCTCCTTGCTAAGGGAGGAAGGTAATATGTGAAGTGCTCATATTAAGGGAATATGCTGTCTCCTTTAAGAAGCATATCTCTGCATTAAACAGCATAGTGCTTTACTTTCAACACCTATGTATTATTGTTAGAAGCTAAGGCAGACAAAGCAGTTATGCTTCTTTCTAGCTGAGAAATGTTAATTATCTTCTATACGCCTAAAGCTGATTTGCAAGCAGATATTAAAACAAAACACTATTTAAAACAGTTTTTTGTTTTTTTAAATAACTAAAGGCTGTTTATGCGTTACAGGTAAATGCTCAGATCTGTCCTTAAGGGGGGTGGGGGGGGGGGGAAAAGTTTTATTTTCTTTTAAAGCCCTGTAATCTACTGTACAACAGAGGAACAGGAATGTTGAGCAGCAGGGTTGTGGGGAACAGCACCGGAGATCAGGTGAGTATAGCAGCCTGAGCCGATGTTTAATTTATAACCACTACCAGAAGATTCACTCTTTTATTTTGGCCCATGTTGGAATTGGGCTTTAAACATTTTAATTGGAATTTTTCCAAACTGGAGAAGACAAAATCTGGAGCAGTTGCCCAGGGCAACCAATCCATTTGTTCAATTAAGATTTGAAAATGAAAGAGAGAAGCTGATTGGTTCTCATGCACAGCTGCTCCAGATTTTGTCTGCTCCAGTTTTGATAAATTCCCCTTTTAATGTTTTTGCTGATTTGCAAGGGTTCTTGCAGCATCTCTGTGCTCTGGCTTTAACAAATAGGCTGAGCAAGCTTCTGGAATGCCCTTTGCCTGTAGGATGTAGTCTGAATGTGGAATCCTGAGCTGGAGCTCAGGTCTTGAGGTCTAAGCCCTCTGGGACTGAGAGCAAAAATGGAGCATACACAGAACTTCCACAGTCAGACTAGACTTCCTATTTGTTCAGCAGTACAATGGCTGGGGGGCAAGGTTATTTTAATTGGGGTTCCTAAATAAGATAACTCAACAGTGGAGGCCCAACAGTGGAGGCCCAACAGTGGAGGCACTGTTAAGAGGTTACATTTTCCCCACTAATGGAGGCTTCTAGTTTACACAGGTGTAAAGAGACTTAGGGGTCTATTCACGAAGCAGCCGAAGGATCTAGCCGTAGCTTCAGCTGATCCTTCGGCTAGCTTCGGCCCCAGGCTATTCACTATAGCCCGTACAGCCCCCGAAGTCGGCCGAGCGGCTCAGTCAATCACGGCTGTCGATCAGTCGATCACAGCTGGCTCCGCCCAGCTGTCAGAAGCTGGCCGAGCGG